CATGTGAAGGTATAAACCAAGGACTGCTGTAGAATGAAATGAGGAAGTGTGCGTCCAACTGCAGCACAGTGCTGGCGCAGTAATGGCTGTGCGCATCTCCATGGATGGCAGTGCCTTCGCGCCGAAGGACAGCAGCAGCCTGTTCCGCCGTGCCGATAAAATGAAAGGAGGATACTGAAGGAAAAGAACGAAACCGGCCTTGGCTCAGTGTGTCATCGTCAGAATACTGCCTTTCCAACAAACTGAACATCAAGAGATTGGGATTTTATTGTAAGTTCCTGGTGGATAAGAAGGCACAGACTAAAGTGGATACTACAGGTGCGAAATGTGAATCTAAAAGTGCTTCCTGCGTTAACTCAGACTTTTCCTGCTAGGAAGTAGCCGGTGCCCGGTAGAGAGCTGTGGACATGTCTGAAGGATGAGTAGCACGTTGGTCAGATGCAGAGCAGTGGCATCAGCCCCAGTACCACTCACAGAAGCCCTGTGGAGCCTTAATCAGCTACAGTAGTTCTCTTCTTGGCTGTTGGAAAGATCACCAAAGGGGTAGGGAGCTTTAGTAGTAGCCACAAAAGTAGTGCTTTGGGGCTGCAGGACGTGTTAAGAGTGGGTGGGAGTTCTCAGCCAGCGGATTCAGTGATCCAGGGCAAAATGAAGGAGTTGGCTGTTTATGGACAGGAAGAGTCAGAAAAGGAAAAGCAAGAAAGGTATTTTTACTCATTTTTTAACTTTTCCAACTTTCACCTGGACAGGGAATGGGGTGACAAGTGGGAGGAGTTTTGCTTTTCAGCTTTGCCTTTTTTTTTCCTGAAGTAAACAGGTGATGTTACTTCACCTTCCTGACTCTGGAAAGTAGATCAGGATCATGACTTATGAAACAGGTTCAGTAATAGTACCTAGCTCACTGAATTACTGTAAGAATAAAATAATAGGCTGGGTGTGGTGGTGCATGCCTGTATAATCCCAGCACTCAGGAAGCTGAGGCAGGAGGATGGTAGTGAGTTCGAGGCAACATCGTGAGTTCAAGACTAGCCTGAATGACAGTGAGACCCTTCCTCAAGAATTAAATAATGGAGGGTCAGCCTAATAGGTCAGCAGACTGAAGTACCTGCTTAGGCAGACATAGTGGCTTGGGTTCAATCCCCAGCCTGCTGTGCCAGCCCTACCCCCAGGGTGCACTGAGCCTGCAATTGAGACTGCGCATGGTGGCACGCACCTGTAATCCCAGCTCTTGGGAAGCTGAACACACGATCACTACAAGTACAAGCTATATAGTGAGACCCTGTGGACCCTGTAAATCCTGTCCTAAAATACAAAAAGAAAAGAAAAAGAAAGAATGGCAATTATATAAAATAACTACCACTTAGGTACTTACTTTGGTTTGACTCCCAAATAAGCCAAAACATCTTCCAAAATCCTGGAGTTGTCATGCACTGAACTTTGGACAGAAGTTGTCTCTGAAGTGGTAGGTGTTGGCGTATACCTCAGTTTCTTGCCAGTGTTTATTACATTACTGACTGCCTGCTATACATATGCCCCTGCGAGGCATAGGAGGTGTCTAAGCAAATATTTATTGAATGGAAGCACTGTAACATGATCCTGATGATCTGAGCAGCTACTTCTAAGGAGACTTCCTTCCCAGGGAGTAAGTACGTGAGAGAACATGGAAGCTGCCTGAAAATGTAGTCCTTCTGTTTGATAAATATTTGAGTGTCTGCTGTATGCCTGGTATGTTTTTGTGGGTGAAAATAAATGTATGCCTTTAGTGGGAAGAAATAAAGAGTGAAAAGAGCCCGGAAGAAACACAACAGGTGTGAGAAGCTGGCCTGTAAGGGGGGTGGTCCACTAGGAACTACCACCCCTTCTGAGGGCCCGCCTGTGGGGAGAGCCCTAAGGCAGCAGGGTAAGTGAGGACTTGGGGGTGAGGGCACTCTGTGATTCCTGGAGGTTGGAGAGCAGACTTGCTTTTCTTATTCAGATTGAGACAGGAATCATCAGTAGTAGGGACTCAGCACACTGATATTTCCTAAGTCCCCCCCACCCACTAAAATAATATGAAAGCATTTCCTGAACTACCCCACTGTGGTATAGCCCAGGGCAAGTCATCCAGTTTTACTTCACTCTGCTGAAACCCCCAGAAAAGACTACATCTTCTTTAATCAGTATACCTATAATTTAGTACTAAATGTCAAGAAAGTGCTTTGAAATCTGAGGAGTTACACAACCATCTGGAATTACCATTATTGGTATAGTGATGTCCATGCTTGTCATGCCTTGGTCTTTAGGCTTCGGTCAAGTGTACCACTCCCTTTTCTAATGTTTTTGACACTGTCAGCTACTTAGTCAAAAATTGTGTTCTTCCAGAGCATCACATTTTTTTATTTATTTTTACTTTAGGGAAGGGTCTACGGGGTGTTCAGGGTCTCACTACTAAATCAGACTCGTAGTGATCCGCCTGTTTATAGCCTCCCAAGAGCTGGGATTCCAGGCGTGTGCCACCATGCCCAGTCTCAGTTGCTGTCTCAGCGTGCCCCAGGAGCAGGCCCGGCACAACAGGCTCCAGGATCAACCCCTGACCCCCGCTCCTGCTTGCAGGCACTTTAATCTGCTGAGCTATTTTGCCAGCCCTCTAAGCATCACATTTAGAATGATGGCTCACTTGTTAGACACCTCACTGGCAGCTCAGCTTCGAGAAGAGCACTGTGTATGGGTAAGAAATATACGCGTCAAAAGCAGCTCATGCTAGTGTGGTTTCCATTAGTTCAGTGTTCTTGAAAAACCTCTAAAGGAATGAATGACATAAATTGTATAGAACCCTTGTCATTAAACCTTTCCCAGCAAAATACTTGGAGATAGTTTTAGTTCTTTAAAAATGAGAAGTGAACAGTGCTATTTAACTTGCCAGAAATGTAATTAATACTGAGCTGAGTAGCTTTTCTAATTTTTTTTTTTTTTAAGATTTTGTGTCTGTGGCTTGGTGTATCAGTTGGTAAGAAACAGCCAGAGAATGCTAGATTAGAGAAGAGTAAGAAATCATTGCATTAAACCTCTGCCACATTCAAATGTGAATAAACTCTAAAAATTCTCAAATTTTTCAAAGAGATTTCTTAGGAATTCTGAAACAGCTTATTATGCATAATCAACATAAGCTTGGGAAGTTCTTCCTTATGTCTGGCCCAAATCTTCTACAATTTGAGTGCCTTTCTTTTTAGCTATACAAATGGAAAACAGCTGCTTAGGCTTCCCAATGACAGCCTTCATGTACTTGAAGATGCTTGTTAAGTCACCCCCAGCTTTCTTCCTCTGGGCTAAATCATGGCTTTAACCCATCCTAAAAGTTTCCATTTCCATTTTCTACCCCTTTAATCATCACTTGATCTGCCTAAGCTTTTCTACATCCTTCTTTAAATGTGGACTCCAAAGTAGAATGTAATATTTTAACAAGTCTCACTATTAACTGGAGTCATTTCCTTCTCAGGCAGCCATATATCATTGTCATTCACATGAGAAATCCAGTAATTTTACCCACATCCAAAAAGATGAGATGTGGGATGAATAGTTCCTTTTACAGTGGGCTGGCCTACAGTTGTGGCTGCAGATAACTGATTTTGGAGTCTGATGTCTTGCAAGCCAGACGAGTTCTAAGACATGTGTGGCCCGTGTACCGCTGCTTCCTGCTTTGGGTTTAGCAGCCAGTTGTGTAGCACAGAAGTTCTCAAGCACTGTTTCCTGCTAGGCAAAATTCTCCTGTACTTAACTGCTAGTTCTACTTCCAAATCAAAGATGCATGCAACAGTCATGAAATCCTTTGGGATTTCACTTCTGAGATGATTTTCTTCTGGGTGGATATGGGGACAAGGGGCACTGTTTTCTATGTTTAATCTCATCAGAATCACAGAGTATGGAGGATCTCAAAAAATGGTTTAGAGAGGGAAAAAATATAAACAGTAATTAGTTGTCTTAGGCCCATTACGTAGGTGAGATCTCTGGTACTGGTAACTTGACCATATGGCACTTCTGTTGTTTGGGGCTTTGGGTGGTTCACTGATGTGAACTGTCACTTTCGCCTCACCCTTCTCCTACCTCTATTAAAACTTAGTTGCTTGGGGGGAAATGTGAAGGTGTTTAGTGACTGTCAGTTGAAGCAAGGATAGAAACACAACCAGAGAGTTCTGTTGTGCATTTCTGCAGGTTTCTCCTGTTCAAACAAAGCCCAGCTCAGGCTCCGACATAGCTTATTAACTTCCATTGGCCCCTGTAGGAAGCAGGGATTCTGGCCTGAGTTGGAGAGCATGTGACCTTAGAAAAGAGCAGGCAGGAGGGCCAGAATGATTATGTGGTGAGACTCCTTACGGTAGCATGACTGTCTGCATACATAAGGGTCTGTTTTATATATGTGAGCTAGACACTTACCAATATCATAGTCTCCCTCTCCCCAGGTACTGAAACTCCTTAAGCAATGACTTGGAGGTGGTAATTGTCCTTGTACTTTGAGCAAGATAGTGTCACTTTCCATTGCAGCCTAAATTGATGGAACCTAGGGATATCAGGCTTGGAATAATTGATTAGTGAGATTGTCTCATTTAGTGAATAAAATACAGCTAGGCTACATTTCACAATAAGATTGTATATCTCTTTCTTTCTTTCTTTCTTTCTTTCTTTCTTTCTTTCTTTCTGAGATGGGTCTCTTACAAAGTTCTGGCTGGCCTTGAGCTCACTAGGTAGCCCAGGTGGGCCTCTCCAGCAGTCTTCCTGTCTCAGCCCTCTGCGTGGTGGGACTGTAGGCACGTCACACCACAGCTGGCCTAGGTAAAGTCTTGAAAGTGCCAGCTGTGTGCCCGAGTGTGTGCACAGCTGGTGCATTCTTGCTTTAGATGTGGGTTAATTCCCAGAGGGGTGTCTTCTTCTTGCTAAGAAGGCGTTCTTTACCACTGAACACTCGATGAGCTGCGTGCTGCTCTGTGGACATAGAGCCTCCATCTAACTTGTGTTTCTTTTTCCAGTCTAATAGGCAGCCAGCCAAGTTGAACCTTCTTACCTGCCAGGTGAAGCCAAATGCTGAGGACAAGAAGTCCTTTGACCTGATATCACGTGAGTCTTTCTAGAAATCTATCTTTCTGAGTCATTTACTGTGGCTTCTGACGTCTGTGCTTTTCTTGCCTGAGTAATGAAGTAGCAACTTTTCCAAACTGGGCTCCTCACTATTGCATAGCTTCTTGGTATTCCTGCACGTGCAGTTCCAGGAAGATTCCTCAGAGTGAGTCTGTGTTTGCCTCTGTCTATCTCTTCTTCCTCCTCTCCCTCCCAACCTCTCTGTCACACACCCCCCACTTTTTTTTTGAAGATCAAGTACTACTGTATGTCCATGCTGGCTCCAATCCCTGGGCTTACATGATCCTCCTGCCCAAGTACTTGGGCCTACCAGTCTGTGCCACAAACACCGCACTTCTTTTGTTTTCTTCATTTGCACTGAACCCACGTGGAGTTGGGAAGGCACCGCGGTGTGAGATGTGAAAATACTTAGATCACTAGAATCTAGATTTATATGTTGAATCGGTGAAGCACTTGACTGTGAACATAAACTTTATTCTCTTAGAGAATCGTGTCTAAGTATTTTCACGGTTCTCTTCTAGGCCTCCTAAAACATAGTCATTGACGTGAGGCCCAGAGAAGATTTTTTAAAAACGCCTAGGTAGTTCTTATGTGGGCACCGTGGTTACGAAGCACTGATGTAGACCAGGGAATGCGGCTGTGCCACTGTGTCCGTACAGGAAGTTCACCCAGAGGTGTACCTGTGCAAGACCAGGGTCTTAATGGAAACATAATGGCCCTTGCTTGCAAGCGGACTTGCCTTCCAACTGCATGAGCTGGAGTGGCTGCATCCCCTCAAGTTCTTACTCCCAGGTTCATTGTTGCCAGATGAGTCCCCCTTCTCCGAGTACACGGATATCAGGGGATGAGCACAAGCCATCGCAGGGAGAGGAGAAGGCCACGCTCCTCCCAGCCCGGCAGCTCCCACAGGAAGAGCTTACTCCCAAGTTCAGAGTTTGCTTTTAACCCCGCCCGTGGCCTGCAGCCTGCCTGCTTAACTATATGTAGCACCAAGCGGCCCTTCCCGCCCAGGTCTGTAGATGCACTCACGGGCCCCAGTGCACTCAGAGGACGCCACCACCTGCTAAAGGACGAGGAGAGCAGGGCCAGGGAAGCAGCCTTCACCTCTGTCCTTAAACGCTGCTCCTCCTCTACCAGCTAGCAAGGAGGCCAGCAGCCAACGGGCACGATCGGAGAAGGAAAAGGACTTTCCTGCCTTGGAATCCTTTTGATGCAGTTGCCTGAGTGGCAGCTCAGATCCAGCCTGACCCAGAAGTACAAATCAGCTGTGAGTCGGTTTTCGTAGAGTGTGAGCTGCGTTCTGCAGCATCTCTGGGAAGTTTAGAGTCCCCATGACTTTTATGACCAAGAAATTTCTTGGGCTACTGAGAAGTATAAAATACAAAAACTTGAAATTAATAATATGTCTTTAAAAAAACAAAAACTTCTAGAATTGACAACCTATTGGTTATTACAAGTTGTTACTCGTCAGTTCTGAGCATCTAAATGTGCTTTTTCTACATTATTGCTAATTCTCAGTAATGCTCTATCAGTTTCATAATTTACAGAAGAAAAAAACTTAAGACAGGTTCAGTGACCTCCTCAGCCCATGCAGCAGTAAAGCAGGCCTCAGCCAAGGCCCTCGTGTACCTGTATCCATGTATCGTGTCCCCTTCCCACTCAGAGACAAAGGCCTGGGTGCCTAGCTCGGAGCAGTCACTGAAGGTAATACTCAGTCAGTGTTATTTTGTCCCAAATGTACAAAAGCATCCTGAGGTACCTTGAGTTTTAAGAAAGCACTTTTCCAAAGAACACTAGCAGAGGCTGGTCCTTTCTTCCCAGAAGCCTGATTCAGCAGAGAACAGAGTAAAGCCTGGGCAGAGTTTTAGAGCTGCCCTACAGGTAGGGCCTTGTGGACAGGCACACACCTGTCACTGAGCCCACCTGCTTGGATGGGACCCTGTCCTTTCTCACTGTTCCAAAAGAGGTACTTTCTATTTACATTTTTTATTGTAGTATTTCTCTTGTACTTAAGAATAATATTGACAGAGTAAACTGTTTAGCTGCTAAATATAGCCATATAAAAAAAAATCATATTAAATAAGAATACTGTTCAGTTCCCAACCTTGGGTGGCCACCCCAGGGACGTTTGATTTTCTCTCAGCTGCGGATTGAACTTGGCTGCGTGTGCTGGCAAGTGCTCTAGGACTTAGCTACCTCCCAGCTTCCCTGGGAGCTTTTAATTCTTTTTTCTTTTTCTTTTATTTTAATGTGTTTGGTACAGGGTCTACGGGGTCACGCTACGTAGATCACACTCGTAGTGATTGTCCTGTTTTCAGCCTCCAAAACGCTGGGATTGTAGCAGGTGCCACTATGGCCAGTTTCTGTCACCCTCTCAGCGTGCCCCAGGGGCAGGGCCAGTGCGGGATCGAACTCCAGTCACTGCGCTCTGCCTAAGCAGGCGCTTTAGTCCTCTGAGCTATCTGGCTGGCCCACCTGGGAGCTTTGAAAATTTGAGTTATGTGGTAGTGTCCCAAATTTTCTGATCAAGGAGATTATGGGTCCAAAGAGGAAAGTGATCGATGATGTAGAGTGTGCCTAAGGAGAGTCACATGGAGAGAAAAC